GTGGAAGCAATGAGCAGCAGCGTGGTGCACACTCACAGGAGGCTCAGGGAGTCACAAATGGTGGAAGCAATGAGCAGCAGCGTGGTGCACACTCAAAGGAGGTTCAGGGAGTCACAAACGGTGGAAGCAATGAGCAGTAGCGTGGTGCATGGTCACAGGAGGTTCAGGGAGTCTGGGTCTCAGGGCCCTGGCTGCAGCTCCCTGGGGCACAGCCCGCTGCCAGGGAGTGGTGCCATCGCTTGGTGCCTCTGCCACAGCTGCCCTGGAGTCCTGTGCAGAGGTTTTTGTGCCCATCACCTCCTCTTGACCCACGCTGCCAGGTGGGAGAAGGCCCTGGTGGAGCAGCAGCTCTCCAGAGGGCTGAAGGGCCAAGTGAGGGAGAGCTTTGGATTTACACTCGGGAAAAGTGGAATAAATCAAAGCAATTAAAGTGCAAATGAAGCTTTAAGCAATGTGGCATCCTAATTACCTGGGAAGCGCGTTGTGTATACTTCTGTCTCACTCCCTTTTTTAAAATAGACAGGATCCAAATTACATAAATCATTTAAATTAATTTGCCAGGTAGAGCTGGGCTTTGGGAAGTGCTGTTAATGACGATGTTTTGCAGGGGCTCCAGGAGCCCTGCAGGCTGTCTGCAGCCGAGGCTCCCGGGCTGGGATTTGGGGTTTTGTGTGCGGATCCTGCTGGGAGGGGCTGGACAGAGGCAGGAGAGGAGGGCTCGGTGATGGGCAGCCTGAAAGGGCAGAGCCAGAGGTAATTAATCACCGCAATTAGCCACAGGCATCGCAGGCAAAAGCACAGTTTGGTTTTCTTCCAGACTGCCTGGGCTGGTGCTGGAGCAAGGCTGTGACCACACGTCCTTGGGTAACCACCAGTGCTTTGTAGCACCCAGGAGAGCCGGGAAAAAGAAGTGCAAGACCAAGAAATAACTTCTGAGTCAGAGTAGAGGTGCCAGGGGAATAGGGCAAGGTCTGGCTGCACCAATGCTGCTGCTGTCCCTCGGTGCCAGAGGAAGCAGGGCAGCGGTGAGAGTGCAAACTTTGCCCTTCAGCTGGGTTTGGACTCATCTGCAGGACCCCTGAATCTCTCCAGGAAACCAGCAGCCCCCTCCCTTCCCACTGAAGCCTCTCCCACCCTGCAGGGCAGCTGGGCTGGGAAATGGGGTGTCCCCAAGCACACCCCAGAGATGGAGAGGGGACAGGCTGCTGCTCCCATTCCCCTTCCCTGGGGGGGCTGGATGCTGGCCTTGGGCTCTGCCTTCTCAGCTGGTGACACACTGAGTGTCACTGAGGTCATTTGCTCACTCCAGTGCATTGGGGCTGTTTGGGTAGGGTAGAAGTAGAGGAGAAGAAGCAATTAGGGATTGAATTTTGTCCTGGTAAGGAGGCCTGTAGTTGCCAAGACTGAAGCATCGCTTCATCACCTGCTTGTGGGAGTCCTGGCACCAAGAGGGATGCCAAAGCTGTCAGATCCCTTCTCCAGGAAGCTGCCAGCCTGGCTCACTGACATCCATAGCACTCCAAGCCCATTATGTTCAGGTGGGCTGCCTTTTATTTACAAGAATTCCTGCAGGAAGGAAGTTTTGTGAATACTCGTCTGAACAAATATTTGCCTCAGATGTGCTTTGTGGCTGTCTGACGTGGTTATTGTCTTGCTTACTCAGCACAGTTCTCAGGCAGTTTCCTGAATGTATTGTCCAATGTGGTCATTTAGAGGTTACCAGGTAATGATTGTTTAAAAACGACCTGCTTTTGTCTAGTAGTCCTCCCAGGAGAGTTTTATGTGCCCCCTCCCGACAGGCTGGTCAGGCATCACTCACATTGGCGAGCTCTGCTCCATGGATCTACAAAGGACACCAGGGAGTGAGGGGTGGGGGAATCACCAGCTCCTGGGAAAGCAGGAGAAGGGCTTGCACTGCAGCAAATGCTTGGAAACAATTTGGACAAGGCAAGAGAAGTGCTCACCCTGGGCAGTGCGTGGTGTGACCGGGGAGGAAGCAGTCCCCAAGCGCTGTGACTCAGTCCCTTCCTCCCCTCTCAAAGGGCACCACCAGAAATGTTTGTCAGACCCAGCCCGGGCTGCCGTGAGCCCTTCAGGAGCAGACAGCGGAGAAGGATCTGCCATCTGAGCCTGTTTTCTTTGCTGCAAACGATCTGCCCAGCAGCGGTGGTTAAAGACCTGTTGGCCTCTGCTGTAAACACTGAATTAACACCTTTCGGTGCCCTGGGTGTTCTCCAGGAGGCACCAAAGGGTTTCCTGTCTGGTTTCATGTAGGCATGAGGAGAGAGCTGTGCCTTTCCCCAGCTCCCCAGAGCACACCAGGAACTCCAGGGCACGGGGGTAGGATTTACAAGCAAGCTGCTTCGGTACCTTGCTGTGCTGTGATGCAACCCACTGCCCTTTAAATAACCGCTGTCTTTTGAAGGCATAAATACTTACAGGGTGAAAGAAAAAAAAAAGCCACCATTTCCTCCTGAAAGAGCTAATTTATCTGGAATTATCTATCCTTGGCCATAAATCCTCTGTAAAACTTGGCATGAGTTTTGAGGCAGTTGCAGCAGTGACCGTATATTTTTATCCAAAACCTCGAGAAAGAACAAACTGAAGCCCCAAACGGCAGCTCTGAGTTGTTGCAGAGCCACGCTGGCAAGTGGGGCTGCAGGGACTGCCTTGCCTGGGAAGCACCATGCAGCATTTCTCATGAATTCCCACCACATCTTTTCAGTTTCTTTCTGAGCAATTCCTGCTTGAGAAATTATTTTAACGTGCCAGTTTTCCTTGCTGGCAGACTCAGAAGAGCATCCCGAGGGTCCTGGCTGGAGCAGCAGCCTTAAGTCCCTTGCTAACGTTTGCTGAGCACCACATCCTTTTTAAACCAGGGCACAGGTACGTGCATCCCTCCTGTCCACCTACTCAGGCACAAGGCAGGGCTGGCTCTGACTCATCTGGCTTCCCACTTTCTCTTCTTTGTTCTTCTTGTCTCCCTGAAGCAGGAAAGGATCCAGCTCTTATTTAAATGAGGCCCTATAAACATAAGCAGCTGCAAAGTAGGGCAGGTTTTTAATGGCTTACACCTCCTTGAGCTTGGCTTCTTCCCTTCAGCCTCTGTGGCTGTGATCAGGGTCTGTCTCCACGTGAGCAGTTCGGTGACATTTTTGCATGCACTGGGACCTACCTGTTCATTTCTGGGAGTGCATTCCCTGCACAGAAAAGATTAACAGATTAATTAGGCAAGCACAGCATGACGAGGAGGAGCTGTGCCCACAAGCAGCTGAACCAGAAAGCTGCTGGGACATCACGACAGCCTGGGGACAGCTTTGCCCTGTCCCCTGTGCCAGCCCTGACCTCACCCTGCTCGAGGAGGGATGTGCCCCACACCCTGGGAGCTGCTCAGGAACTGGTGGAATCCCAGGGCTGTAGTTAAGCAGAACTGTCCAGGCTGGGACCTCTGCAGTAACTTGTGGGTCTGTGTCCCTGCTGGAGCAGGGATACCTGGAATGCTGTGAACCTGTGGGTCCCCACCAGGTGTGTGGCTTTGTGTTGGTGCTGCTGGAACAGCAGAAGCACAGAGGGTGTGAGCTTGCTGAGGAGTTCTGGACAGGCAGTGCCTGTGTAAGGGCAGCAGGCTGTGATCCCTGCATGACAGCCTGTGCTGTGTGTGCCCAGTGAAAAGCTGTTCTGCACCCTCACACACAGGCTGGGGTGTGTTTGTGCCCAGTGAAAAGCTGTTCTGGACCCTCGTGTGTGTGCTCAGTGAA